ACAGATCCTTTTTTAACCTACCACGAGAAAAAATTAAAATGCATAAAAATGTACCTGGGGTTGACTGCTTGGATTCTTAAAAAGAACAAACAAACAAAAAAAAAAAAAACATGACAAAAACGTCCTTGGCACTGAATCGATTTTAAAATACAAATTTCAGTTATCAATTGTATGTCTCAGTTCCTATCCCTAATGGATAGTGGGGGTTCGCTCTACCTGTTTTTAATCATTTCATCATCATTTAATCCATGTTAGCAGACAGCTAACACATGAAATTTATCAGCTCTGTTGCGCCGTCTCCCCTCGCAACAAAAACGGGACAAAAACGCTCCACCCCTTGAAGCCTGCTTCTCCGCGGCAAACCCACAAACTGATTCGAGGGATGCTTGAGCGCTTCACGTTGCCAAAGACATCATGAAATATAAATGTAGCGCGCAACGGGGAGCGCATCGGACAAACGGTGTTATTCCAGAAGCAGCTGTAGAGTTAATTGGAGAGGCGTGTAGGCTTTCTCGACACTCGGTATGAAGGCAGGACTGCTTTGCTTTTTACAGAGTTATATTTGTGATTTATTCTGCCACCAAGGGGAGAGATTACATGCGGGAATGCGGTACACGAGGTCCTCTGACCAGTTGCACCAGAGAGACGCCTCGTGATCATAAAATACAATTGTTGACAGCACGGTTTCTCAAACTTTTTTTTTTCTTTTTCCAAGGGCGCCCTCATTATCCTAACGCCAATTAAACATAACTACCAGTCTACAATGTGCACCGGCAAATACCATGGGGTTTTATTTTTTCAGCTTCAATATTCATGACCCCTTTCATCGAAAGGAACATCACCGATTTCAATTGAATTCAATTCGGTATTTAGCCATCGTCCCTCGCTGAGGTGCACTGCTTCCACTAACAAAGTGGCTGCGAACAGAGAGGAGTTAGTTTACAAAAGCACAGTCAGTGTTGCCAAATCAGCGGTTTGGTTGCTCTGTTTAGAGTCAGACCCCTCCAATTAGTGTTTTTCCAAAAAGCGACAACTGACATTAATTCCATCCATCCAAGAAAAAAGACAACAATGAGCAGAGTCATGTGCACACTGCGACAGTGAAGCCACATGCTGCTTCACCAAAACATTATTATCCGATCACAACGATGCCACAGCCTACGCTGGTAAAATTGTCACCGCCATTTTTCGACTCGTTGCAGGTGGATCTGCAAGCCTGCGTTCTGCGGTGCGATTTGAAAGGCTGGTCAAAGCAGCCGTTTTGAGGTCAGTGGTGGAAGTGTGGGATGTACCGTATGTGTGTGTGTGTCTGCGTGTGCGTGAGATGTCTGTTGTGCTGTCATGAGTTTCGTGCAGCCCTGGCGCACATCTTACCTAAGCTGATCGATACTCTGTTGCACACATACACGCATAGAAATGTGCAAACGAAGGACAGCTCAGTGGAAGTGTAAGACATGGTGGCAGTGTGCGGCATTAAAAGCCTGAAAAAGAAGCATCTAAAGTGACAGTGTAACAAAGTGTTGTACACAAAAGCCTGAAAAAGAAGCATATACTGAGAACGTAACAAAGCATGACAGCATTCCGCTCACCAAAAAGCCCCAAAAAGAAGCACGGAGTGCAAGTATGAAGGCAGCGTTTTCACAAAAACCTGAGAAATTAGCATGGCTAGCATGTGCCGCACAAAGGTTTGCAAAAGATGCACAAGGTGAGAGAGCCTGACAGCTGTGTGCTTACGCCAAAGCCTGAAAAAGAAGCACATTGTGAGAACACTGATCTTAAAGTTTGCAATGTTAAAAATCAGCACATTAGCATCCCAAAAGATGTGTGCGACACCTGTGCAAATGTCTGATTAAAAGTAGCGTTTGAGCCAAAATGGCAAAAGGGGCAACAACAACTCCGTTTCTCTCCTGCAGTGCTAATTTGCATCCGCTTGCTCTCTTTTTCAAACCACGCTGTTTTCCGCTCGAATTGCGGGCTGTGGCAATCTCCAAATCAGATCTTCCTCTTAAATGATCACCCGGCGTCCCCTCCATCCCCCCAGCCAAATGATAAATCGCCTGTCTCGGCCAAGGAATCCCAAACACGGACCATTTTCATTCCAATCCATAAAGCCACACTCAGGATTTGTCGTCTCTTTAGCCTCCAATCATCTTTGGCTCTATGTGAGAGCGCTATTCTGCCGCAGTATTCTTCACTTCTTTTACTTTGTGCTCCTTTTTCAGCCTTTTGTGTGTCACTTTCAAAAAGACAGAAAAAGAAGCACCAAGTGAAATAAGTCAATCATTTGACAGGAAAGTGCTACACCTATTATTTCCAGTGGGAAAATGTTTATTTTGACCAATGTTCTTTGCTGGACTTGATATCGACAGGAAAGCACAGCTCACAAGAAAGGTGCTTTTGTCCATGCCCCCGCTATGAGTGCAAATAGGCAAAACACAAGAATGTTTTCTCACCGCATCACCTTCCAGTTGCCTGTTCACAATCTTTCTTTCCCCACTGCCTCAACCGGAGCCGACCGGGTTGTCCACGGGGAATCATCCACCCTCTCCCCGCGTAACTAAAGGTCACACAGCGAACAGCAGAAGTACGGCTTTTTAAATGCACCGCTGCCCTTTAACGGCATCTGAGGCGGGACGCCAGTGCATTCTCCTCACACATGGACCTCACGCAGATGAGGAGAATACCATTGACAGCGGTTCAAAAGGGCAATCGGACAGATAATTCTGTCCAAATGCAAACTCTTGATTGAGATTAATGACTCCAGCACCTCTCATATTTGATCAATGTTGTCACATGCTTCACTTGGGAAGGTTTGGCACTTCATGCTAATTTAATGCTAACTTGCTAATGTGAAGTTTTGAATGAGTTGAATGACGGGACGTGGGAGTTTTGCCTTATTACTTTGGAGCTGCAGTGCGCACTCGCCGTTTGCCTGGTTATGTCCTTTGTGTGGGTGATTTAGCCTCACAAATTTAAGTTTACTCTTGTAGACAAAGTGATTCATCAGCATCTTTTACCTTGACACTATTCATCGCTCGCTTCAGTCGGCAAGTGTTCTTCCACGACTGGTGCTTTGTGCCTCGTTGCACTGTTGTTTTTCGACTTTTTGGAGTCACTGCTTACTCAGTCAGTGGGTTCATCTGAAGAAGGAAAATCACTCCCAATGCTAGCCAAGTGTGTTATTTGAAACCATTCGATTCTGTCATTTAGTAGTTAGCTTGTAGCGAGGTTGCTGAATACCAACATGCTAATTTGAACTTCTAAATAAGGTGAACCATGAGACCTGGTCAAGTGTGTTGTTTGAAACCCTTCGATTCCGTCATTTAGTAGTTAGCTTGTAGTGAGGTTGCTCAATACCAACATGCTAATTTGAACTTCTAAATAAGGTGAACCATGAGACCCGTTCAAGTGTGTTATTTGAAACCATTCGATGCTGTCATTTAGTAGTTAGCTTGTAGCGAGGTTGCTAAATATCAACATGCTAATTTGAAGTTCTAAATAAGGTGAACAATGAAACCCGGTCAGTTATCCTCGTACTTTGCACATCCATGCGAAGCAGAAGTGACCAAACATCCTTTTTTTCCCCCAGACATGTCCAATTTAATATCTTCCAAAAGCCACGCCCCTCACCGTTGTTCACAAGCGCTATTCCCAAACATGGCTATTCATCATCTCAAAATGCACACTCCCAATACATAATCACTGAGAATGCGTGTCTAGCTTCAACAAAATAGCAGCGCTATTGATACTAAGTTAGCATTGCTCTGTAATCAAGCCGTTGTTAGCCGTGGCTGCTATCTTCATCCTAACCCTACGTAGCTGATCAATACTTACTAATAGTGGTGCATGTAAAAATAACAACAGTTGGCTGACAAATGTGTCACGTCCGATGAGCAAAGAAAATATCGACGCATGATAAGAAAATTACAGCAGTAGTATGCACAGCAATTACTTTAATTCACTCAAAACACTTTCAAAATAAACTCCTACTTGATGCGCATCCTGTCCAGTCCAAAATTCTGTCATGAAATAGCCCTTTAAAGTTGTTCTAAAGTCATAAATTCAGAAAGTTAATCACACAGTTGGACTTCATCAACTTTGCATAATAAGATATTAGGCCAATGTGACACAGATGTTGCCTTTAGTCACACTCGATTCTGTAAATGTCAGCGACTCATCACAAACGACAGTCCAGATGCTCTTCGATGGCGCCATTATCATCAGCGTCTACACCATCAATGCACAAATAATCATTAAAGCAGCAAGCAGCAATGGAGCCCTTCCACCCTTGTTTACAGAGCAAAGCTTCAAAATTATCAAACTTTGACAACACACACTAGATGGAATTGCCCACCACCCCCCCAAATAAATAAATAAATAAAAACGGCACTGGATTTTGACCTCTCATAGCAGTGGGTAAACGTATCAGCCTTTTAACCCAGAATGGTTGACTTCCTGTAGCATTTCGGACAAGGTTCCCTGTGACGGTATTTAACTTTCAGAGGCTGTGATTGAGTTTTCCATTGTTGTCCTTGGGACCCTAAAATTCTGCCCATATGCTGAGCATACGCCTTTCAAGTGGACCCCAAACGGCGAGTTCATCAGTCTCACCGCCATTTTTATGGCTAATCCTCGAAATGATAATCAAACTTTGACGCCATGCTCCGTCCACATTTGACAGTGAAATCGATCTTATTAGTTATGATTAATTGTGATGAATTGGATCTACAGTTAATACTTTTGAATTGAAATATCCTCATCGTGATAGCATAATATTTAAAATACACTGATGTGGCTTTTGCGGTGTCCTAATCCAACAAAGTTATTTCAGTGATGTTCAGTTGAGCTCAACTCAACGTCATTGTGTTCAGCTGTGTTTTTGTATCAGATGGAAAATAATACGTCAACTGACTGGGACATGATTTAACATTGTTGATTTGTAATGTACTTGTGTACACTGTGTGTGTGTGTGTGTGTGTGTGTGTGTGTGTGTGTGTGTGTGTGTGTGTGTGTGTGAGACTGCACGGAGATGCAAGAAGAAGAAGAAGAAGAGGTCCTGCTGCAGTCAGGGAAAACATCTGCTCTTCGTCAGGACCGATGAGCCAGTGAGGCCGCAAGCGAGCTGGCACAGATGGTGCTGAGGTCTCCGCACAATAGGCCTTGCCAACCATCGGCATCATCGGCAGCCACCCGTACACCCACAAGCGCGTGCGTACACTCAGGCACACACACGACTGCCCCCGACAAACACACACACACACACACACACACACACACACACACACACACACACACACACACACACACACACATGTTGATGTTTGGAAAGCTGAGAATTTAATGGGTAGTGGCATAAACTCCCTGACACAACTTGTGATCACACTGGATTCATCGTAGTGGAGTGCAGTGAGGCAACATCAATTTTTTGCTGTTTCCTTGTAAAGTTCTAGGAAATATTTGTTTTTGGTCCTCTGGCCTTTTGTCTACCATGTGGCTCTGGGTTCAGCAAGGCATCCATCCATCCAGTTTCTTATCCTGACAAGGGTCACGGGGCGTGCTGGAGCCTATCCCAGCTGTCTTCGGACAGTAAGCGGGGGACACCCTCAACCGGTTGCCATCCAATCGCAGGTCACACATAGACGAACAACCATCCTTGCTCACGCTCACACCTAGGGACAGTTTAGAGTGTTTCATTGATCTGCCACGCATGTTTTTGGAAATATGGGAGGAAACCGGAGTACCCAGAGAGTACCCACGCCGACACTGTATCCAAACTCCATCAAGGAAAGCCGGAGGCGGACTTGAACCCTGCGCCTCCGCACTGTGAGACCGACGTGCTAACCAGTGGAGCACTGGGCTGCCCTTCAGTAAGATAACCTAAAGTTTCAGTGGATTAGTGCTTCAGAAAAAGAAAGAGGAAAAATGACAACAATGAGAAATTGTTGTTTTCGAAAATAAGAATTAAACATAACTCACATGAAGCAACTGCAAACATCAGGGTTGATACTGGAGTGCCTCTAAAACATCAACAGCATGCTAAGAAGCCTCATGAAGAACTCCGTGAAGCTGTGAAAGACAACGCCGATGCCAGTTGCACCGGTGAACATCAAATGTGGCATATTTCACGGAGCCGCTTTGTCCCTGCTGCACTTCTGCATAGGCCTGAAGCCTCTCAGCTACATCGGAACACAGAGCAGCTTCGGGTATCTGTTCAGAAGTGGAACAATCGCCCACCTCCACGACACGGAATGACATCGAGCCATATGCAATCTCGACTAGAGGGAAGATGATCAAAACGAAAGGGATTGAACTACCTGAAGGCCATATAACAGATGTGCAGAACAGCGAGCAACACCTTGGAATACCAGAGGCAAATGGCAACCATCAGGAGGCAAAGGTCAGCCACAGCTAAATAGCGTGAGGCGGATCCTGAGGAGTCGGCTGAATGGCAAGAACAAAATCCAGACTAATAACCCCTTTACTGTGCCAGTAATCACTGTAGGATTGCATGTTCTCCCCGTGCCTGCGTGGGTTTTCTCCGGGTATTCCAGTTTCCTTTCACATTCCAAAAAACCTGCACGGTACGTGAATTGAAGACTCTGGATTGTTCCTTGGTGTGATTGTGAGAACGGCTGTTGTCTGTGTGAGCCCTGCGAATGACTGACAGCCAGTTCAGGGTGGTATAGGCTCCATCAAACCCGTGACGCTGACGAGGAGAAATGGCTCAGATAATGGATGGATGGATGGCTTTATATATATATATATATATATAT